AGGCGCCGAGCCAGTTGGTCCATTCTTGTAGTAGCTAAGCAGAGATGGACTCTTAGGTGAACTGGGACTTTTCCTTTTTCTTTCTTTCTTTTTCTTTTTTTTTTTTTTTTAGACAGTCTCACTCTATTTCTCAGGCTGTAGTATAGTGGTATCAGCCCAGCTCACAGCAACCTTAAACTCCTGGGCTCAAGCAATCCTCCTGTCTCCGCCTCCCAAGTAGCTGGGACTACAGGTGCCCGCCACAACGCCTGGCTATTTTTTGGTTGCAGCCGTCATTGTTGTTTGGCGGGCCCAGGCTAGTTTTGAACCTGCCAGTTCAGGTATATGTGGCTGGCGCCTTAACTACTTGAGCCATAGGTGCTGAGCCTAATTTTTCTATTTTTAATAGAGATGGGGTCTTGCTGCCTTGCTGTTGCTCAGGCTGGTCATGAATTTCTGAGCTCAAGAGACATGTTCGCCTTCACCTCTCAATGTGGTAGGACTACAGGCGTGAGCCACCATGCCCGGCCAGCTTTTGTTCATAACAATTTTCAAGAGATTTTCTGTCTACCTCATTTCTCCATTTTAATAGTTATGCATGGGCAAATTTACATCTTCCTTTTTTGGACAAAATGATTAGATTTAAAGTACATTGAGCATAAGCACCCGATCTTGGTCATATGTTAACATTAAGTAGCAAATGTTGGCTTGTTATAAAGAACAAGATTTGTATAACCTTCCATACTTAAACTGTCTTCTCCTATGGGCCAAGAGGCTTCTTAGAGAGATTCCTGAGTGACATCCTTCCCTGCTGGATATCACTGTGCTGAGGAGCGTTAAGATGCCAATCCAGCAATTTCAGGGAAAGAACACTGGATTAATAATTAAACTCAGCTCAAATTCTGTGTTTCTGATTTACTTGCCAAGCTGACATGGGCAACTACAACCCTTCTGAGCCCTGAGTTCCTTACCAGTGAAATTGAGGATCCTCTTAGGCTATTAGGAGCCTAAGGGAGAAAATGCAAGAACGAGGATAGCATAGCACAAAGTTTGGTGCTGGGCTAGCCTCGTTAAGTGACGAGGGTGGTGTTCATCCTGGCTATGTATTACCTAGGGATCTTTGAAGAAAACTTTCTGCCCAATGCCAGACTAATGAAATAAAAAATTTTTGAGTTGGAGAAATAGCGTTAAAAAATACCTTCCCCATTGGTGGTGCCCATAGCTCAGTGGGTAGAGCGCCTGCCACATACACTGAGGCTGGTGGGTTTAAACCCAGCCCAGGCCTGCTAAACGACAATGACAACTGCAACAACAACAAAATAGTGGGGCATTGTGGTGGGTGCCTGTAGTCCCAGCTACTCAGGAGGCTGAGGCAAGGGAATCGCTTAAAGCCCAAGAGTTTGAGGTTGCTGTGACCTGTGACTCCACCGCACTCTACCGAGGGCGATGTAGTGAGACTCTGTCTCAAAAAAAAAAAAACCTTCCGGGGCCCCCCCGTCCCCGCAATCCTCTAAAACTCTTCCCAGATGGGTTTTTTTCTGGACAGTGTCTTGCTATGTCATGCTATTACGTCACCCAGGCAGAGTACTATGGCTTGATCATGACTCACTGTAACCTCCCAACTCCTGGGCTCAAGGGATCTTCCTGCCTCAGCCTTCCAAATACCTAGGACTACAAGCACGTACCACCACATCCAGCTACTTTTTAATAAAAACTTTTTTTATGGAGATGGGCTCCAGAGTGCCTCAAGCAATCTTTTCCCTTCTAAAGCCTCCTAAAGTATTGGGATTATAGGCATGAACTACTCCACCAGACTTCTTCCCAAGAGGGTTTTTCTGTTTTGGAGGCAGAGTCTCACTCTGTCACCCAGGGTTGAGTGTCATAGAGTTACAGCTAATAGCAACCTCAAACTCTCGGGCTCAAGCGACCTCTTGCCTCAGCCTCCCAAGTAGCTGGACTATAGGTGCCTACCATAGTGCCTGGCTAGTTTCTCTGTTTTTAGTAGAGATGGCGTCTCTCTCTTGCTCAAGCTGGCCTTGAACTTCTGAGCTCAAGCAATCCATCCAAACTGGCCTCCCAGGTGATTTTAAGGAGCTGGGCTGAGAAACACGGCAACAAAAGGTAAGATGTGGCAGGATCTATGGAAAATGGGTGGATAAATTGAGAGAAACAAATCAACCAGAACTCAAATGTAATCAAATGTTTGCCTAGGCTTCCGATTTCCAGGGTCTCAGATGTTCTCTGATCTCAGTTATTTTTTAATTGTGAAATACCTGTGACATAAAATCTACTATCATTATCATTTCTAAGTGTATAGTTCTGTAGTTTTGAGTATATTCACATTGCAACCAATCTCTGGAACGCTTTCATCTTGCAAACCTGAAACTGTCTAGGCACTAAATAGCAACTCCCCATTCCCTCTCCCCTCAGCCCTGGCAGGCAACCACCCTTCTGCTCTATGATTTTGACTGCTCTGGGTACCTCATAGAAGGGGAATCATACAGTATATGTCTTTTTGTGCCCGGCTCATTTCACATAACACAGTGTCTGCAAGGTCTGTCTCTGTTGTGGTGTGTGTCACAATTTCCTTCCTTTTTAAGGCTGAATGGCATTTCACCGTATGTGTGTGACTGTGTGTACATACATATATACACACATGTACAGATTTTGTTTATCTATTCTTCTGTCAGTGGTCATTTGAATTGCTTCAACCTTTTGGCTGGCATGAATACTGGTGTACAAATACATGTTTGAGTCTCTACTTTTCGGGTATGTGCCCAGCAGTGGAATTCTTTTTAGAAACTACCGTAGCATTTCCTGCGATAGATCTGTGAATTTACATTTTCACCACAAAGCAGAGAGATTCAGTTTTCCCCTACTTGTGACTTTCTGTTTTTGATAACAGCCTTCCGGATGCATGATAAGTGGTAGGGCATTGTGGTTTTGATTTACACTTCCCTTCCTAAGGACTAGTGAGCATCCTTTCATTTGCTTATAGGACATCTGTATATCTTCGTTGGAGAAATGTCTATGTATTCAAATCCTTTGCCCATTTTTTAATTGGGTTGTCTTTTATTGAATTGTAGGCGTTCTGTGTAAGTATTCAAATTCTGTTCTCCATAGTGTGTGCTGGTTCTGTAGCATCTTAAGGAACTTATTGAGTAAAAAGATTTATGAGACCAAATACTTATGGGTTGCTGTGGGTTAAGTAAAATTTATCTATTTGTTTATTTTAAATATTGAAAGCTTTATAAATTTGTGTGTCATCTTTGCAGAGGGGGCATGCTAATCTTTTCTGGATCCTTCCAATTTTAGAATATGTGCAGCCCAAGCAAGCACGTAAAGATTAATCTTTTTTTTTTTTTTTTCTGTAAGATAGATCAGAACATTAGTACACTAGTAGGTATACTAAATCTCTAAGTGGGAAAGTGGGAAATTATATTTATTTTTTTTTCTTTTTTGAGACAGAGTCTTACTATGTCACCCTTGGTAGAGTGTCATGGTGTCACAGCTCACAGCAACCTCCAACTCTTGGGCTTAAGCAATTCTTTTGCCTCAGCCTC